AACATTTTTCATATTCATGAAAAACTAAACTATAACTGTTTTGAGTTCCTAGATAAATATATGGGTCTGAATTATCACAAAGTCTTATTGGAGATGGCAATCCATGTAAATCAGTATAAAATTTTTGCTACTTCAAAATCAACAAATGCTCATGACTTAAATTTGGGAATATTTTTTATATTGCCATGTGTTTATTCTCTGATGTCGGAAATCACATAACACTACGAAGGAACAAATTATCCCATGATGTTATTTCTAAAATATCATTTTAAAAAGAAATAAAGAAATTCAAATAATGTTTCTGTTTTTAATAATTAAAAATTTTTTTTATTCATATTAAATGTTTTTATTGATATTGAAATAAATTATTACTAATATTAGGTATTTTATCTACGAATTTCATGGATTTCTTAATTTTTAATTTGTTAATTAATTTGTTAATGATATTATAACAAGTCAAATGCATGAATGAATAAATATATAAAATAAAAAAATATAAACAAATAGAATGGAATATATATTACAAGGAATGGATAATTAAATCGGCAATCACCGTAAAGTACCGAAAGATAACACCACATGCATAAAAATGGAAAAAAAAGACAATCCTACTTGGTACTATCTTTCGGGACTTTACGGTGTATATTTTATCTAAACAAAACTTGGCGCGTTTATAATAAAATAAAAAATTGCTCCTGATATTATCCCTGCAATAGGTAACGTCAAAGCCCAAGACAACACACTCCATAAAACTATTTTCCAATTGATGGCTTTAAGGGTGCCATTACACAACCCTACGCCTATTGTAGCGCCCGTAATACATTGTGTAGTTGATATCGGTAAGCCTAATCGGGAGGCCATTAATACTGTTAACGAAGTGCCTAATTCCATTGAGAATCCTCTACTTGGAGAGTGATAGGTAATCTGATTACCCAAACTTCTCATTACATTATACCCATAAAACACTAAACCCATATCAATTGCAGCTCCACCTAATGCTAACACCCATACTGGTATCTGACCATAATCGCCTAATGATCCGTGTTGGTATATTGAAATTACTGTTGCTAGTGGCCCAACTGCATTGGCTACGTCATTAGAACCTGGATTTTAAAAAATTATATAACATTTATTAATATGTAGATATAATAATAATAATAATTATAATAATAATAATTATTATTTACCATGTACAAATGAAGCAAGCGCCGAAGTCAAAACTTGTAAGAAAGTATATAACGATTCGGTGCTCTTATCATATTTGCGAGCAACATCATACAAGTCTTGACGTGCTTCTTTCCTGTACGTTGCCACATCCTTATTTAAACTATATGTTAAAATCTTTATTATTCTATCAAAAAAAATTCGTATCATTGATTTGTTCCCTTGTATTTCTAATTTGATGCCTTGTTGAGTCGTCGTTATTTCAAACTCCTGGCCATGAATACGAACGGAATTCTTCGAGGAACTATCATTTGAGTTGCATGTATCAAACACTCCCGAAAGAGCATGATTGGAATTGAAACGTGGGTTCATAAAAGGTACAATAAATATATGACGTATTTTCAAATCTTCGCCGTCGATTACTTTACGTCTTATCCATTGAGCAAAGAAAAAATAGGAGAATGCTGCTAAAATTAACGATAGACCAATAACAACTGGTGCAATTTCCTCTAAATAAAAATATTTTTAAATATTGAGAAAAGATCTTTGAGAAAAAACCAAAACCAAAAATAAATAACATATAAATAAATATACATATACACATATATATATATATATACCTGGAGGGATTGTATCTAATTTTAATCCAGGAGCACCTTTATATACCAAAAAAAGTATATTGATTCCCATTGTTATTCCAAAATATATTGGAACGGCAACTAGACCTCTTTCAAACGAATTTTCATCTGCTTCTAATATGAAATATTGAGTTATAAAAAAAATCAATGCTCCAGCTGCACCGGCAATAAAAGGCGAAATAATCCATGATGTAATTATTTTCAATACGCCGCCATCATAACTCCACGTTACTATTCCGGGACCATATGCAGCTATTCCAACTCCAAGAATTGCTCCAACTATTGATTAATAATTATAGCAAAAATTTAATATACATACGTGTGCATGACTGTAGAACGTACTAAATTAATTTTTTACGATAAAAAAAATGATAGTTAACCTATTGAATGTGTTGTAGACACAGGTAATCCTTTGCTTGAGGCAAATAAAAGCCAAATTGACGATCCCAATAACGCACATGCCATTCCAAGCTATCATAATAAATAACTATATATTAATATATATATATATATATATATATAAAACACTAATATAACACACCAATATCATTTATTTAGTTACCATTAATAAATCAGGTCTATCTTTAAAATGATCAATATTTATAACATTATTACGAAGAGTTTCTGCGGTGTTTACTCCTAGAAAAAAAAAAGCCACCCTTTATTAAATTTAAATAATTTTGTTTGGTGTGGGAAAATTTAACTAATTACCTAAAAAAAAGGCCCCAGAGAATTCAGTAACAACAGCTATTAAACATGCTTGTTTTAGAGTAAGCGCTTTAGAAGCAACAGCTGCTGAAAAGCTATTTGCAAGGTCGTTCGCTCCGATACCAAACCCATTAATAAAGGCGAATACTCCAGTTACAATTAACAACCAAAAATAACTATAAGGTTCCATTATTATATTATTATATTATATTGCAGTTGCTGTTATTATATTAGTATTATTATTATTATTATTATTATTATTATTATTATTATTATTATTATATTATATTATTTATTATTAACTATTATTATAAATTTATAACGTGATACTTCGTGGATGCATTAATTAAATCACGAAAAATGAAAAGAAAGTGAAGAAATATATTATTTATTATTTTTTTTTTTTTTTTTTTTAATTGATGGATGAATTAAAATTTTAAAACTTAAAGTTTATCTATTTATTGTATTTATTACGCGCAATATCACATTACTAGTATCATGTATTTCCGTATTTGTTCAATTAATAATTCGCCTTTTATCATTCGTCAAAATTTCAAAAGTTGAAAATTAATTACAAATTAATACTTGTTTATTTATTTACTTTTAAAATTAAATGTAGTTTTGTATTAAATGCAAATGTTACAAACAATTTCCAAAAAAAAAATTAATTACCAAGGGGATGACCGATCGATCTATTAATTAAACCGATATTTGAATGCCGTCGTATAGATCCATACCCCTGCAGCCAAAACTGCCAACGCCAATTTCGAGATGGAAACAACGCCTTGGGAATATTGATGAGTGGAAAGTATGATGTGTTCACTGTGAGTTTTGTTAGCAATTCTGTCTAAATAAATTCGCACTAGTTAATACTCTTTTGTGTTGTTCTGCTATTGCATAGCCTCTTATAATATTAATCAAGGTTTGCCAAGGGTTAAAAAATTTTCCGTCACACATTTACATAATATTAATATTAATATGCAAGTTAATTAACACATAATAACAGTGTTACAAAAATAAAGATAATCGATCCCACGGATCAATTGAGTTTATTTGTAAAATTGCACCATTTTAGTCAACTTTTGATTGTATATTTACAAACATTTAACCGTTTTAAATTTTTTTTTTTGTCAATGAGCCAAATTTCAATATCTGCTAAAATATTCATGCAATCGAATGCAAGGTCATAAAAATTCAGATGTTTTTATTTATCTACAAAAGAGTTTGACACAAATCAATATCTCGTAAAAGGTTTGTAGACTTGAAGGCAATTAATTAATATGCTTTGACAAAATTTCAATCACTGTGTGAAATACCTGTACCGTGATCTTTAATAGAATTTAAATATCGTTAATGCGATAAATTCTTGGGCATTATGTCACAAGAGAATATTATAAGCAATATTATTTATTTATTACAACAATTTATTCTTTCAGATGATTAATAAACTTGCTGTGGTCATAATTGGCAAATTAATACACTAATGATGATAGTTACAAAGAACAAGATTATTATCTAAGGTGGCCTTGGTCACCTTTTCCTCTCCCATTATCTCCTTTACTGTTCGCTAGTAGTAATTCACAAAGATTTCTGCATCGAGAACAATAATCGTTCCACAATAACTTCATAATATTTTTTTACCAGTACTTGTAAAACCATTGTTATGCTCAATGCTTCCACTGTGTGAAATTATGCTAGATTCACTGATTGTAACCACAAATACTTAATGAAATGCCAAGTTTGAATTGTTACTTTGTTGACTATACAAATTATATTATTTATAACTTCAAGTTTTAACGATCGAATCAAGAGAACTCTTTCCATTTTAAATTGATTAATATAGTATTTGTTGGTGTTATTATTGTTTAGCATTATTTACGATGATTAAATAAAAACAAAAACAAATAATCTGGGTGATTAAAAACAAATAATCAAAATGTGTTAATTAAAGATAAATAATGAATTGCAAATTTAAATTTTATCATTCGAACCTTCAAAAAAAAACATTTTAGTGCAACATAAATAAAAGTTTTACTAGACAATCAAAATTTAGGTTATTATGATAAAATGATTGCTTTAGCATTTTTGTATGTTACAATTAATTAAAGTTAATGCATTCACAAAATAACATTAGTACAAATTTAGAACCTAAATACAGAATTCCATTCTGGTGTAACGTAACACACGTAGATTTTTTGAATAATAAAAAAAAAAAAAAAAATTCTAATTTGTCAAAACTAAAAATACAATGCAATGTAAAAATCGTGCGAATTTGAGTAACAGGGTGTTTAGATATGAAATTCCGATTGGTTAATTGAATTTCACAAATTTCAAATTAAAAGATTATTACAGACCAATTGTTGAAGATTGAAAAAAAATTAAACGGAATAAAGTAATAAAAGGTAAAATATAGAAACTGTAACATGTCAAAATATTAATAAATATAATTTTCTATTAAAAATATCAAATTCTCAATCTTCTCAGTCATTGGAAAGACAAGCATTGCTTCAAAAGTTATAGAGTGGGATTCTTAAACTAACAACAACAACATTACAATAATAATGATAATAATAATCATAGTTATAAATTTTTTAAAACATCGGTATTAAAATTATTTATCCCCTAAACGGTTAATCGGCTATTGATAGCCGATAAAATTTTTCTGATATAAAAAATTTTTTCTGAGGGCATCACTTTCTAATATGAAAATGATCTTTGAGATTCAGCCGATTAACCTATAAATAAAAATCCAGTTGTTGCCCTTGTGGTTTTTGTGGTCGATTGACTGTTTTTACTTTGCTGATCGTTAAATTGACCAATAAGAACGATCAAAACTTTAATTTGTGTTACCATTAAAGAATACTCTGACCCGTTTAAGAGATATGCGTGTCTATTAATATGTGAGGTTTATTTATAGGGTTGTTAACGGTCTAATATAAAAACTGCAGTTTAATTGAAGGACCGGCCCGAGGTCGCGGCCCAGACCGTGATCCAGATTTAGGTTTATCCGAATAAAACAAATAAGGCAAAACAAATAAAACAAATATAATGAATGAAATGAATGGAACAAATGAACTGGATAAAACAAATGAAATGAACGGAACAAATGAACTGGATAAAACAAATGACTCGGATAAAACAAAAGAATCGGATAAAACAGATAAAACGAATGATTCGAATAAAACAAATGATCCGAATAAAACGAATAAATCAAGGGATTATTTGGTAATACAATTAGCCAGTGTTCCAGCAAAAGAAGCTTTTTTCACTGCAGGTTTAACTATTAGTAAATTACAAAATAAATCACTGCCTGATACTGCTCGGTGACTATTTGCTTAAAGAGTTGAATTTCATAAGGAATGGCCATTCGTAGAGACAATGAATGGAATTTGATTTATATATATCCTTTTTTTTGAATATATTAATAATTTGAAACGATAATAATGTTTTAACAAATAAAATTGAAATAAATGCTTTTATGATTAAAAAAAAAAAATTCATCGACCCAAACAGTCTTTGATACCTAAGTCCAGACCGACTCGGTCCGCACTCCATTCAGTTCGGTGTTATCTTTCCAGATTTTATGGTATTAATAATTATCGTGTAATCAACATCAAATATTTGTAAAAAAGGAGAAAATTGTCATATTAACGTGAACCTTTCTGTAATTATTTATGAAAACTAATTAAAAATGTATTAATGAGTAGTCCTTATGGTAACAATTTTTTCAGTTTGAGTTTCCTTTTTTGGTTTAAATTCAATCCGTTATTAACCCGAATTATAGTGTTGCAGTCACAGTGTTGATGGAAAATATTTTTGTGATCATTCTGTGAGTGGGCCGTTGATAATTATTATCCATTAAACGGTTAATCGGCTATTATAGTCGATAAAATTTTTCTGATATGTATATAAAATTCTCTCTAAGAATATCACTTTTTAATGTGAAAATGATCTCTGAGATATTAGCCGACCGGACTGTAAAAAAAAAATTCGGGTATTGTCCTTGTGGTTTTTGTATAACTGTTGCTGATCTTTTTGATTTTGAGTTACAATTAAAGAATGACGTTTAAGGGATAGGGTTTGTATTCACAGATAACAGATACCGTAATGAGGTCACACAGGGTCACACACTATCAAGTGTTTTTAAGAGATTTTGCTGTTTACCCACTCCCTAACGGTGTTCATGGTATTCATGAATACAAACAGGACCTCGGACAATCATATTTGAACTGGAGAAAGGTAACTGAACATGTTATTTCCAAAGGTCAAACTAACAAAACTTTTCCAATTTATGTTCAATTAGGCGATAAATCAAAATTTGTTTCCATTTACTATTTTATGAATGAAATCATTATATAGTTTGTTAATAATTTATTTCCTTTGATTGAATATCCTCTTTTTAAAAAAACTTTATATTCGAATGTTAATTTCAAATGGATTGTCATTCCCACTCTTAGAAAGCCTAGAACAAAGGATGTATTCTCCAGTTATAAAATTACCTGGTCGACAAGAAATGAGCAATCGGATTTTATCACAATCAAAAAATAGAATTAATTCGTGATACGTAATAGTAGATAAAATTCTGAAAATTAATTTAGTAATAGTAAATTGTGGGGGATCATCACTATCAAATGGTTTCTACCAGCAGAACACATGATAAATATTACACAAAATATTAAATAATATGATGCAAAAAAATCTCAACCATTATTTTGACATATTTTTTATTATTATTTTCTTTACAAGTTTTTGACTTTGCTACTTAGAAACCCTGGATTTCAGAAGACGTGGCGCAATATGCACTTCTATCATGGATCACGAATTAATTATTTTGTTTGAGGTTCTGTTAGGGAATACACTGCTGCTAGGTTTATATACCAATAAATTTTAATTTCAAAAATTGCATAAAAATGTTAAATTAATGCTTTTATTAGAGAAATCATCAAAGAATTAGATGTTTATAAAAAAAAAAGAGCTGTTAATTGTTAGTGTTACTCATAGATCACCTTTATTCGCTGGATTATTAAGAAATGGGCAAATGTCAGTCTATGGAAAAACAATTTCTTTAATTACACCTAGTGAAACTCGCTGGAATAGCTATTATTTTTTGTTTCATGGTCACTTGGGGTATGATTTTTGAATTTATTCAAAATGGAAAAATGTATTTTTGGTTTAGACATTATTGTTTATAAAATATGCCCCCAGAAATCTTTAGAACTCTTTCTATATCTTGAAGTGGTTAAAGTAGACAAAGATTTCTACCAACTTCTGTAGACCAAGAATAACATCTTCCTCCCAGAAATAATCTCTATAATAAATAAACAAAACATTTATATTATCCTTCCTCTATGTACTGCTTTAAATAAACCGCAAAAGGATATGGCATGACTTTATGAAGTAGTTAGTCATTGTTTTTGGATGGATTTTCAAAATATTTTTTAAAGTGAAAACTTTCCTAATCAAACGATCAACCGTCTTGTTTACATTTATCTTTGGTCCTTCATCCACAATATAGAACTTTACTTTTTAAAAATAAATACAAACAATTCTTTCATGTACGTATTTTGGTCGGTAGATTGATTATTTTTACCAGGTTTAATTTAGTGCGTCATCAATCAGAATTTTGCGTGAACATTTATTATATCAAAAGTAAGTTTATCTAAAACTTGATTGTGAAGCAGTTGACTTTTGGGATTTAGTAAAAGGTGAGGTACCTGACTTGTCGAGATTGGCTCTCATTTGCATGGAATTTGTGTATATTCCGCCTCTGTTGAAAGACTTTAAACCAATATAGGTTTTATACATTCGAAAAAAGAATATCTTTATGTATGTAAAAAAATATTAAAACTTGGTTTTCAATTTATTATAAAAATGATTAATTAATAAAAATGAAAATCTATTTATTAAAAACATAAAAAAGTACTTGAAATATTTGAAAGAAAAACAGTTGGAAATTAAAAAAATTAAGAAAAGTAATCATATTGCAATTATTATTCAAAAGAAATTGTTGATAATGATAATGATAATGAACTACGAAGTAATAACTGTGGAACATTGGCCTCTCTTAAAAAGGAAAGGAGGGTTCAGGCGTCTTTGAAGAAGAAACTGATGATTCTATTAACAGAACCGAACATTGAATAGAATTGGATGGATGTAATTGTTGGATGTAATGAAGATATTTCGGATCCTTTAGGGATTTATAGCACTATACATTCCGCTGATGATCCATTGCCGAATATTATTTTAATGATAGTTTAGAATCAGCTGATGGAGGTAAATTCATTCGTATAATAATAGCTAAATTTGATTAAATGTAATAAAATTTTGAATTTTTTAATTAAACAATATGATTGGTTTTGCAAATGACCGCGTCATTTAGTCATTTGTTGTCACGGCCAATTACATATCAAAAATTTTACCACTTGGTATCTTGATTCCACAATCTGGCTATCATAGGACTGTGATATCGACCTTGGTTCTTCTTTCCAGTCCTTTTCTTACGGAGCTTTATTCCAAGCACATATCACACACAAACTTCCTGCATCCAAAGTTGGCACTTGGTGATACAGTCTTGGGTTGATCGACAATTACACATTTCACATATTACTCGAGCGTGTGTGGATACCCTAATATGAATATATTAATGTTAGAAAATCCCACTCAAAACAAATATGTTAATAACTCAAAGCATATTTGCGCCACTAGTTCCAGGATGTTGAACGCTAGGTTTTCGAACATGAATTATATTTGGATAAATAGCAACATTTAGTACAATTAATTCTTTAACTCCAGATGGGTTAAAATGAACTAAAGGAAGGATATGAATGTTAGAAAATCGATTATATGCAAAGGATCAAGAAAACTGAAAGAAATTTTCTTACATAGTTGACCCACTACACCTGTTGAAGGGTCATAAATCATATTACCGTTGGGAACCTTGAGATAATCCACCAACAGTGTAATGACAAATTTATGCTCGTGTTTGGACATTTCAACAACGAATATGTCACCGTTGCTTTTTCGTTGAAACTTGTACCCCAGAAGACTCTTGACGTTCAAGGAAGCGTTGTATATATCTTTTTACCGATATCTTCGAGACAATCTGAAAAAAGAAAACTGCAATCCATAAATGTTAACACCGGGTGAATATCAATATACCTTGCTACACCCACTGTCCTCTCCTGGAGGCTCTTTTGGTAATTTTGGTAATTGGAATTGTTCTTGAAACTTTCTCATAGGAATTAATAATTTGTTATTATTATTGACGAAACATTTGAAAAAGTAAAATCGGGCTCTGGTCTCTTTGAATCCCGGACAAAAGAGAATTATTTTTCAGGTTGCTGTGCCATAACATTCCATGCACGTATTAGTATGTCAATTAATTACATGATATAATACAAGGTCGCACGTAAATATTTAATAAACGTCGAGTTTCATGGGAGACGAAGACTCGAAAATTCAAAGCGGCTAATAGTGGTCAGATTCAAGGCCTGATTATTACCATGTGATTTGGCTGAATATGGTAAAAAACTATCAATTGTTTTGTTATTAATAATAATTTTATTGTCGTTATCATTATCTTTCCCACTTTTTTCTTTAGTTTTGAAGCTCAACCCAAGTCTAGATTGCTTCTATTGTTTTAGAATCAGATTTTGTTGTAAAATTTTTATCCTATTTCTTTTTCTTTTTGAGGTTACTTATGACATCGTTAATCATATCAGATTTAATAATATCATCTTCGATCGAAAAGCTTCGTACAAGTGGGCTATTTTTTAATAATTTCTTTCTTGATATTGGAAAGTAGGCATGGTAAAAGGATTGGATTGTAAGGCGGATTAATGGCAAATATATACAGTATATATTAAAAAATCATTAACTTAAATGGTGTTAATGATTGGCTAAACTCCCTAGACAAAAACTTTGGTCATGAATTGCACATAATGAAAATATAACAGATGTCATTTCATAGCTTAGGTTCTCAAGAATTGGCATGTAAAATTCCAAGTCTACGAAAATGATACCCATCTCTTCAAAGATTATCTTTTTTCAAGAAAGTATATTTAAATTTGATTGGTATTTAAAAAAAAAACTTTTTTACACCAAAAGCAAAAAGTGTAAATTATATATTGGTTTAGTGTTACGGGAAGGAAGTAACGAAGAGAAGAATATCTTAAATTATAGGAAATGATTTAAGCATATTTTGTAGAAATTAAGCATCTAAAATTTTTGTAGGGAGGGATATGGTCTTTGGCAATTTTTGTCATGGTATCGGATATTTTATGAATTAAAAATATTTGGTAAAATTACATATGTATGGTAGGTAATTAATTGATCCATAAAATATAATTTTTTACATGTTGAATGTCTCTCTCTTTCTTTGCTATTTTATATCATTTCAATGATTAATTGATAAATGATTTTTACATTAGAAGGAATGTCTATAGTGTTGTTCTTTTTACGTTTTAAATGAAAAAAAATTAGCATATAGATTTCTTTAAAGAGAAGAAACATTATTTGGTGATTGTTTTTTTTTTTTTTCATTGGCGTGATAAAAATAAAAACAACTTGTATTGAATTAGATTTGATTGATTTAGTAATTTGTATTCGAAATAATTAATCAGACGACTTTATTCATGTGAGTTTAAAATCCGGTCAAAGTTTTTTTTTATTAATAGCTGATTATTTGGTATTATTAATAGAGCATTAGTATATATTAATATTTGAAAAAATTATTCCGGTAATACGCGTAGAAATTTTGTCGATCTCTAAACTTTAAATAAATATTACGATAATGATAAACAAAGATTATTCTTTGGAAGAAGATCGATCAGTCTAATTTTTTCCAAGCCTAAAAATTTTCCAAAAATCACATAACATCTGATAATATATATATACAATTCACACATTCTATTGTGAACCTTTCATATAATATTTTTGTTCTACAGAGAAGTTAATGATAAAAACATTGAATCTGGTATTTTTATCATTTATTTATTATCAATAGAATTTTGCACAATCGATTAACATCTCCTACTACTACTACTTCTTCTTCTTCTAATAATAATAATAATAATAATAATAATAATAAATAATAATAATAATAAATAATAATAATAATGATAATGATAATAATAATAATAATAAATCATTAACTCCTTTTTCTTCTTGAAGAAAAACAAATCGGATCAAATATAATAATAATATACAAAAAATTCGTCCAAAATGTCTTTGATAGTATTAATTTCTCAACACATATATATTTACCATGCCTGAAACTTTGAAATACGAGTATACATAATAACTCGACATCTCCTGATTCATCCGACCCTTCAGATTCTAATAATAATTCATTATTAGGTTTTGTTATTTCTATATTATCAGTCACTGTGTGGTTCATGATCTGAAGCTTGCTACCTAACTATATTCAATATAAAACCATTCAAATTAATCATCACAAACAAGTAGAAAATATACACATTTAAATAATTCTTTATATACTCCATCTTGAATAACCATCTTCATGACATTTAAAATGTTATTATTACTTTATTATCAATCAACAATGATTGTAATTAGTTACGCTAAAAAATCATTGCTCAAGCTTACTACATTGAATTATTGAGACTTGTTGCCTAGCTTTAGATACATCAAAAGGCGAGAAACAAATGCTGAAACTAGTACTAAAATAACTGTGCTGATAGAATTCCTGGCTGTGTGCGGAAAGGAGAATCATATGAATATTGGACTTTATGCTTTATCTTATTTCTTGTACCTATCTAAACTCGATAAGTCAGTCATGTCGGGTTTGGACTTATCAAGAGAACCGAGTTATCGAATTTCACATTATTTTTTATTTAATCTCAAACATTAAAAGATTGCGAGATCGAACATAATAAAATTTAATAGGAATACAAATGTATTTCTTCAAACGATGATATAAGTGATGATATAAAGGTGAGATAAAAAAATACAGATTGTTGATTGCAATTAGACAAGAACGCTCTCTAAATTATTGAATGATACAATCAATGATGAAATAATAAAATATTAATGCATTATTCATGATAAATCATCAAATGGTTAAAGCAAAAAAAGTTCTCTTTTTAAAATTACTTTACAAAAAAAATTGGATGTGTGATTATGCATTCTGATGGGGTAGTAATAAAATATAAATGTAGTTTTACAAGCGAGAATGCTCTCTTCCTACTAAATTATAAAAAATGAACAATAAAGATGGTATTTTGCTAATGACGAATAAATTTATTAGCCTTTTTAGCACACGTTTTAAGAGTTTATACAGCAGAATTATCTCATTACCAAGATCAAGTTCCAGAATTTATTATTCGTTTTCTTCAATTATATCCATTAAATATTATATTGAAACTATTGTTATAAAAGGAATGAGAAGGTGATATTGTTGAGAAAATTTAAAAGATTAAATTGTCAGAAGGAAATAACTGTACCTAAAATCAATTATTTTGTCGCTACTAAAAATTTTGTCTTTGGATCACATGATTGATACTATGAATAATCAGTATTATACCTATTGCAAATCGGACATTCCCCATATCCTTCTTTTCAAATATATGAACCTTCATAATCTTGAAGACTCCCATTTTCCATGTATTTCGTTACAAAGATATATTCTTTTTGTAGCTAGATCCTGTGTTAATCCATAAACTTTATTTATGATTTACCACGTAACATAAAAATAATGATTTACCTCATTAAGAAATTCGTTCAGCTGTCAAATACACAATAGCAAAATCAAAAACAATTATTGATTTAGATAATCGCTTTTTGAGTTCTGATGGCTACAAGGAATTCATCAAATGGCAGGAAAATTTAGCTGGTGAAGCTATACCACTTTTCCAAAAGATTTACTAATTTTGGCCTTTGATAATGAGCAAAAGGGGGCGAAGAGCTAATTAGATTGTAAGTATAATATAATGGTTTTTCACACAGTCACTAGTTTTCTTGAATTTAATTTTGATCCCATTGATCAAACACAAACAATTCAGGAACCCTGGTTAAATCAAAAGTCAAATTTATTACAGATTGAAGAATTTTTTTGATATACTTGATCAACAATGAAAGTTGGCCAATATTTCTGAAATTCAACAAGAAGAAGCCAACCAATCAATCCTAGAGACAACAAATACCACGAAACCTTTACATATCAAATTCTATCAAAATTCTACCAACATTTCTGATGCACCACCTATAAATCCAATTAGTACAACTCAAAAATCATTCCCTCAATATGGTGTTAAGATTCCTGACATTCTCTTCCAGATCCTTTACCATTAAACCCTAACTCTATTGAAAATGTTTGTAAAGTGCCAGATCACATTCAAGAAATTGGTGGAATCAACAAAGGTGAAAGAAATGGATTCCAGTAGTTTGTGTTGGAGTTCCATATAACTATGCACAAAAAATTATTCAAAAATTCTCATGATTCCAGGGAAACTTCATGAAGGAATGAATATATATGTTAAAATCTTTTGTGGAGTAATCGTGTGACCCGCTGGTTGCATTTTCTTTGCGAAAAGTTTTTTCGTTATGCACCGCTCGAGTGTAACACCACAACGGATATTCATTATAACAGACGAAAATTCCCAGCCTGATCAATCCGCTATAACGAGGGTAAGATGTAACTTTATTTTTATTTTTTATAATCATAATTTGTGCCTTAATGATTTATAATATTCAAGGAAAACATGTTCATGATTTTAATAATACTCGACAACAACTGGAAAATGATATCAAAATACGAGAAACTCATCACCATAGTTACAAATAATAAGATATTAAATTATTAAATATTATAATAGTATTTATTTTGAATATAAATTATTAATCTAAATATTGTTCAAGTATGTTAATCTAACGTTCACCTAATTCACATAATTTGGTCCATTCTTCCGGAGGTTGCATTTTTAAGATTTCATCTTGAAGTGTGATCATCTGCATCAAAAGACCAGATTCCAAATGCCACTATAAAAGATAAAAAGTTTTAAAATCAGAATCGTATTCGTTTTTTCATGTATCAATAATAATAAAAAAATCTTTACATACCTCGTAAAAAAAAATGAAATGAAATGAAAGGAAAGGAAAAAAAATGTTAGTGAATTTGTTAAAAAAAAGCAATATACTGAACAAAAACGGAATGAAACGATAGCATATCATGTGACAGTGTATTCCCCAGACTCCAGGATTGTCGGAAACAAATCTGATGGCAATCCATCTAGAAAAAAATTATATTCGTCTCTGTTTAGTATGGGATTCATTTTACTAATGGGACTATTTGTCACCCATTATATGTCATCAGTAAAAGAAAACGCGAAATTTTTTTTACCCTACGGCAGGTATTGTTGCAGTATCACGCTTGATTGGATTTTGTGTATTCAAATCATTTTCATCAACTTTATCTCCATTTCCGGTTCCAAGTACCCAAAATTGGTATCCATGCTAAGTTTTTAGAAAAAAAAGTTAATTTTTAAATCATTTATGTCGATTAATTAATTTTACATACCATGTGAAACGGATGGTCGCCATCGTCAGTATCTAAAAAAAAATATTTGTTAATAAAACCATAAAATTGAAAATTCTTATACAATTGTTAATTAATTATACTTACTGAGGAAATAAATATCAACTACTTCTCCATCTTTATCAAAAAAATAGGCATTTGCACTAGTTTCGTTAATTGGTTGCCCTTTAAAGATTTTATCTAAACTTGGAAAATTTATATCAGGTATATAAGAAGATTCATTAAGGAAAGCTCTAACAACTCCTGTTGTATTCTGATGAAAAGTAATTGTGAGTTCCAATTTTCTCGTTGATTCGGGAATCTTTTCTTCTTTAAGTGGTTGTAAAGTCTTGTGATCTAGATCAACGCATTCTGTCAAGGGATCAGACCATGGATTGTCTTTTGGTTCAGGAACATCGGGAGCTCCTTCATAATGTACTATAGCTTTAATAGTAGGAAGACTAGCTGCAGCATCTGGCATGCATTTCTTTTGAAATTCAGAACGCATTATATAATTATCGACCGGTTGGTTTGCAGTAACAATAACAGAATATCTTTGGGCGACATTGATGGGAAGACGATGGATCTTATTTCGCATAGTATATCCACCGTCTGCTTCTATAACTTCCATTTCATGATTATCAATAGAAAAGAAGAATGCCGAAAATGCGCTAGAAGAATAAAAACATTCGTCACTTTTAATTTTTTTTGAATTGCATAATACGATGATGTAGATTACTGTACCTAGTATTAATGATACGAAGGCGATATTTTTTATTTTGAACAAATTCAAATTTAGCAAGACCGGCATTGTCCACACATTTAGAACCCGGTGGGGCCTTGGAGCAATCGAAATTATGTTTTCCATTGATCAAACCGTTATCGGGAACTGTAGATGTAGGAATCGTTCTAATTAGCATCACGCGGTCATACCTTTGTACTTATGTCAATCTTTCTTACCTGGCTATTATTATATAATGAGAATGAATTAATATGAATTTAAGAATTTCGAATTAAGCTTCAAAACGTTAAATTTACCTCTTCTCCTTTACTTTCAGGAGTTAAGAATTGTTTTAATAAAACTTGTGCATTGGTATGATGATAATCATTCAACATGACAATAATTTCCTCATCATATTCCACTTTATACGGATCATCAGGATCATGAATAACTAATAAATTAAATAGAGAAGTCATAAAGAATTAAAAAAAAAAGTCGATTTAAATTAAATAATTAAATAACTTACTTAACGCGCCAAAAGCTCCATCAACATATTGCAACGTTTCGTGCGCATGACTAAAGAAATATTATATATAGACAGTGAGTACATAGGAGTTCAAATGATTTTTTTTTTTTGGTCTCATAAATACTCACTACCAATGAGTGCCAGCTTCTTCGGGAACAGTGAAATTGTAGGTGAATTCGTAATCGTCTGGTATAACGCATTGAGCCTGATAGTACGTGTCAATCGACGATTGGTCAATATTGAAAGAATATAATTATACGAATCAGTTTTTTTCATAGACTCACCATCCATGGTACTCCATCGAACCTATATAATAGATTGTGAAATTAGTATGGTCTTTGTAAAAATTAATTCCGGTAAAAAAAAAATCACATACCAAGGAGTCCCTCTTTGAAGCATTCCATGCCCATGAATAGCTAATATTTCATTTTGCAATATACGCTTAAAAACACGTACAACACATAAAATATAGGGAAGATATTTGTTGCAAATTACCTGTTGGTTCTCCTAATTTATTATTAATGTTCAGCACAATACGATCTCCTTTGTTAACTTCTATGGTTGGTCCAGGATATTGTCCATTAACGGTTGATAATTGACGAGTAAACCCATCTGGAGCCAAAGTAACTTTTTCTATAGTGAAATTAAAAATATTTGTTTTTGGTTCATACCCCCGTTTCAAAATTGGCGTGGGCGAGACAATTGCTGTCCAAAGAATAATATAAAAGAAAAAGATCCTAAAAGAAATCATTGTTATATGATTATTACGTTAAATTAATTAGAATTAAGTATAACTTGGCAATATTTTATATTTTCCTTTAAACTTTTTATATTTAAGTTCTATTTCTTTTACATCTTTGGGATATTTATTGTTAAATTCAATCTCATTATCATGTGTGCTATGAATGGCCTTATTATTTTTATTATTTGTCATTCATTTTATGAAGTCGTACAGTACATAAATAATTAAAAAAAGATCGATGCTTCTTTCATAGTAACTCATGTAGTTCCGGTTACGATAAGTATAATTTATTTTATAATATTGAAATTAGCTATAAGGCGATTATTTATCATATGTTTTCTTGTGACAATTCATTTTATCAATTTCCGATTAATTTCGATTAGTGACTTTAAATGACTTTTTTAGCGCAATTTAATTAAGTCACGCTAATATACATTACATAAGCATGCATTCTGAAATAGATGGTCTCAATGGAACCGATTCGAGCTTGAGGCCGAAAACATCAAAAATAAGACCGAAAATGTTAAGCTTAAGGCTAGAATTGTGAAATTGGAAGATAAATAATTGCAAAAACGAATTAATAAAAAGTTTATTTAACCGGCTTATGTGTTACTGATAATTTCACCTTTTCAAGCCGATCATACTATATTAAGTATTCGTCATACATTACTCGAGTATGTGAAATTGAGAAACTATGAAATCGAAATTTATAATTAAAATTTTGGGGTGAGGTATTTTGGATATGAAATTCTGATTGGCTAATTTGAATTTGAAATATGTGAATTGTGTGAATTGTGTGAATTTTCACGTATAACAATACCATAAATTTTTTTATAATGAGATATTTTAATATTGTTTAAATATTTTGATATTGTTTAAACAGTTGAACTGCACTGACCGATCACAGGACTCGATCAATGGCATAATTTAAATATAAAGCATTTTGACAACATTTGGACATTTTAATAGCATTTAGGCACTTTGACATTGTTTAGACTTTCGACGGCCTAAATGTCGAATGACGAAATTTTTCGACAAAGCTCGACTAACAACTTATAAATTATTAACAAAAAAGATTGAAATAATAATAGTAATTAAAAAAATTGGAATCTAAATGAAAAATTGAATATCAAGTTCGATCACATCACTCACAACATTGTCTAGTTCAAAATCGGGTTTTTTATAATAAAGTCATATAGTCTTGAATTAAAATAAATGTCACTAACCTTGTTTTTGCTGAAATCCTTATGGGTCATTCTTCTTTATAGGTGAATTACATTTCTTTTATAATGAACGATATACTATATATTTTTTTTTTTTTTGGATTTTTTGGCAAATCTTTTTCAATATTAAATTTCAATGCCGTATAGTTGATTTCAACGAGTTAATTTTTCTATATATGTGAAGTTGCGATTTTATGAACATAGTTTCATACAAGATAGATGGCATTATTGTTTGTTTAGAATGATATTTTTATTATTATAAAAGGTTTTTTTTATAATATAAAGAAAAAAGAACAGTTCATTTTTGTCTTTTAGAATTCCAATTGCAGTCAACTCTTGTTATATCAAAATCCTCATATCGTGGACTTTTTTAGTTTCTCCCGAAATTTTTTATAACACTTTATAATCAACTGTCTCTCGTGATAATGGACTCTTGTTACAATGAAAAAAAAAAAAAATTTTTAATTATAATGAATGCCGACAATCAATTATAATTGAATGAATAAAAACGAACAGTTTTAACGAAAGAATATGATGAATTCATTTTCTATAAATGTTATTATTTAATATTTATAGAAAATTCATTACTATATTTTTGAGAACCCCATTAAGAATTAGATTTTCTATGAAACAATAATAAAATTCTTTGTTTTACAAAAATTAAAAAAAGCTACCAAACAATTACTATATTAATTCATCAAATTCAACATGGTATTAAACATGGTAAAATAGGTTTTCTCCCTATCTTGTACAAATTTATTTATTTTAATTATTTCCCTTCTTTCTTTATCATCCAAGTTTATTTTTAAATTTAAAAATAAACTTGGAAAATAATTTTTATATATAATTTATTTATTATCACATACCATATCGACAATTCCTTAATCACACCAACCGAAAGTTCAAATAATAGAAGAACAAAAACCATTAAAAAATTCAATAATACCATTAATTACAACGACAACAACTATTACTACGCCATCAATAATAACGACGATTAATATCAAGAAATTAATAACAATTACAATTACAATTACAATCTCAATAATCTAGTTTCAATGGAACCAAGGTCACAAAAATCTACAGACACAGCAGCAACAATAGCATCATTATCATCAAGAATTACTCTATTGGAAGATGAATTAAAAGAAGCCGGTAAAGAAATGGCTGAAAATATTAGACGTGAGGTGGAATTACAAATGGAATTGGATTGTATTATTGCGCAGAAAGAAGAAGACATTCAAGCTGCCACTGAACCTTTAGTAAACAAAATATCACAGCTAGAAACTGAATTATCATATTCCACTTCTTCCTCTGGTAGTGATGGTAGTGGTTATAATTCAGGATTCAGTTCACCAACACATAGTGACCATGAATATTATAATATAGAAAGGATAAAACAGGAAATTAACAATAAACATTTAAATGAATTAGAAGAAATTATGAAACAAAATAAAAAAGATGTGGAAAAGTTAAAGTTTGATCTGGAAAAAAAATTCGAGTTGGAAAAACAAAATTTAATAAAACAAACTGAAGATTCGTTAAGGCGAGAACATTCGAAAAAATTAAATGATCTCGAAGAAAATCTTGAAAACCAGATTAGAGATTTAAGAAACGAAAACGGAAATCTTGAATTTGAAATCAAAATATTAAGAAAGGAAATCGAAACTTTTGATAATGAAAGTAGCGAAAATAGCGAAAATGAAAAAAAATTAGAAAATCTTGAGGTTGAAATAAGGAATTTGCAAAATGAAATTGGAAATCGCGAATCGGAGGTTGGAAATTTAAAAATGGAAAATAATTTACTAATAGGCGAAAAGAATTTATTGGTAAAAGAGAATGAGATGTTAAAGAATGAAAATGTTTCGTTTACAAAAGAGAAAGAATTTGAAATTGAAAATTTGAAAAATGAAATTGAAAATCATAAAAGTGAAATTGAAAATCATAAAAGTGAAATTGATTTACTGATAAAGGGTAAAGTAAATGACGATATTGAAATTAGAAATCTAAAGAACGAAATTGAAAACTTTAAAAATGAATATCTTTTGTTAAAAAAAGAGAGTTCTGAACAATTAGAAAACCTCAAAATTGAGAAATCAAGAGAAATGGAAAATTTACAAAAAATTAATCTTGATGAAGTTGCAAACCTTGAAAGCAAACTTTTGAATGCTAGCAATAAACTCGCCTCCATCGAAAATTCCTTTCAAGAATTAAATTTCAAATATCAACAATGCACGCACAATAATTCGCAAACATCAACCGAACTGATTTCCGCATTTGAAAAAGTCCAAGAATTTGAAGATAAAAATAGAATTCTAGAAAAAAATTGCGAGGAATTGTCCAACGAGAAAATAAAACTGAATGCCGAGAAAGAAATGTTCCTAAAAGATATCCAGAAAATAAAACTTGAGAAATCGGAATTGGAAAATGAGCTTAAGGAATCGCACGGCAAATTGGACGAATTCATGAAATCCATGAAAGAGAAATGGGAATCGCAATATCGAGATCTTGAACAAAGACATCAAGAAACTGAGTCAAAGCTGGAAGAAACTGTGTCAAAGCTGAAAGAATCTGTCGAGAAAAATGAACTTATTTATGAAGAATTGATGAAAGAAAAAGAAAAATCAAAATCGAATGAAATGAATCACGAGAGATTGAGAGCGTTGGAAAAACAAAACGAAGGGAAAATTAAAGAATTAAAGGATCTTCAATCGTTGATCAAGTCAGAAAATGAGCGATGGAAAGATAAGGAGGAGAATTTTATGATAAACTACGAAAAATTGGAATTGAAATTTAAACAAAAAGAATCCGAATACGATATTATAAATGATGAGTTGGAATTTATTACGGCCGAGAACAAATCCATCAAGCAAAAATTGTTTGACAACGACAAGGAGAAAATATTGATCGATCGAGAGAAAAGACAGATTGAGATCGAATTCAAGAAATTGCTAGAAGAGAAAGAAAATCTTTCCAAACAATTGGACGAAATCGAAAATCAATATCAAGAAGAAATTTCAATTATTGCCAAAGAAATGCAAAAAAGATTAGAATCGTTGGAAAAAAATCAAAAATATTTATTAACAAATAATAGTAACAATAATAAAAATAATCACGATAGAACTAGTAAATTACTTCAAAAAATAACGGATTTGGAAAATTCTCTAAAATCTTCTAGGCTTGAATGCAAAAAATTGAATGAAAAATTGGCGGAAATTCAACTCGATCATTTCGAAGCAGTTAACGAGAAAAACAAAGTAATTGAAGAAAAATCCGAAGCTCAAAAGAAAATCGAATCGTTAGAATCTAGACTTGAAAGTCTTAATAAATTATCAGGTTTGGAAAAGAAAGACTTGAGATTAATGGAAAAATATCATGAAGTGTTGGCTAAAAATATGGAGTTAACAATTCAATTAAGTTCAAAATGAAAATGAAATCATTCATTTATTGTATATATTAATATGTATTTATTTTAATAATAATAGTAGATAATAATAAAATAATAATAATAATAATAATAATATAATAATAAAGTAATAATAATAATGATATAAATAAATAAGTGGTACATTATGAGAAAACGTGAAATTTTTTTTATATTACAGAAAAATTTTTTTTCACATCTTATTAACAAGTGAAAAATTCATTCCCAAATAACTTCTTTCTTTGACTTTCTTTAAATACTGATAATAAATCAAAAGCTATGAAGGCTCTAATTCTTGTTGGAGGTAACATCAGATTTTTCTTCTGATGTTAATTTTATGATTATAAAGCTTTAAAAAAGTGTCAATACTTTTGTTTGATGTTTGGAAAAATTAGGGTTTGGTACTAGACTTCGTCCTCTTACCCTCACACTTCCAAAGCCTCTAGTAGAGTTTTGTAACAAACCAATGATATTGCATCAAATAGAAGGTCTTGTTAAGGTAATCTCTTTAAAAAAAAGGCTATCATTATGATTATTATAATTTAGTAATTTATTTAAATTTTTTAATAGGTTGGAGTAAAAGATATTGTTTTGGCCGTTAATTATCGACCAGAGATTATGGTTAATCTTTTGCAAAAATACGAAGAAAAATATAATGTCAAGATTACGTTCTCAGTTGAAGAAGTACCTTTAGGAACTGGTTTGTTAATTCTCATTAACATAAATCTATTTCTGTTTATAAAAAAAAAAACCCACATTTTTCTAATGTATATCTATATATGCGCTTGGATGAATTCTTTTTATTAGCTGGTCCTCTTGCTTTAGCTAAAAAAACACTTGGAAAAGATCAATCACCTTTTTTTGTTTTAAATAGTGATATCATTTGCGAGTATCCATTTGAAGAATTAAGAGATTTTCACATTGCACATGGCAATGAAGGAACCATTGTTGTAAGTACGAGAATAAAAACATCTATATAAATATTTTGTATTTATATTTGTATTTAAAATTTTGAAGGAAATAAAAAAAATTCAATTGGTAATTATAGGTCACAAAGGTAGAAGAACCTTCAAAATATGGTGTGATTGTTAATCATGCCGATTCAACTTGTATTGAAAGATTTGTTGAGAAACCTACAGAATTTGTTAGTAACAAGATCAACGCAGGAATTTATATTTTTAATCCTTCTATACTAGATAGAATTGAGGTTTGTGTCAAGTTTATGTCATCCTTATTGTTTTTTTTTTGGGGAAACAATTCAACCGATTTCTAAATATTAAAGTCCAAAGATACAAATTATTAATTCTAAAAGCTTAGACCAACCTCAATTGAAAAAGAGATTTTCCCAGATATGGCAAATGACACTCAATTGCATTCATTCGATCTTGAAGGTTATTGGATGGATGTCGGTCAACCAAAAGATTTCTTAACTGGTACATTCCTGTATCTCTCCAATCTTGCAAAAAAACAACCTAATCTTTTGGCCAGTTCTGCTTGTGATTACATATATAAAGGTAACGTGTTGGTTGACGAGACCTCTCAGATAGGTACTGATTGTAAAATTGGTCCAAATGTCACAATTGGTCCAAAAGTTGTAATTGGAAACGGTGTCAGATTAGAAAATTGTGTTATATTAGAAGGTGCTCGTATCAAAGATTATGCTTGGGTAAAAAATAGTATCATTGGGTGGCATTCCTCACTTGGAAAATGGGTAAGTCATACAATTATATTTTATTGTAATTAATTAATATATATATATATATACATTATATTCTCTCCTTTTGTATTTATAGACACGTCTTGAAGGAGTGTCTGTGTTAGGAGATGATGTAAGTGTCAATGATGAGATTTATGTAAATGGAGGTAAAGTTTTGCCACATAAATGTATCAGCGCTAATGTTACAGAACCTCAAATTATAATGTAAGAGAAAAAAGGAAGTTTTTATTTTATCATTATTATTACCATTTTTACTATACTAGTGTATAATTAATAAGTTACATAAAGATTTTTGAAGAGGAATCAGCGATGATGATCACTATAATTTTTATTTAATTAATTTAATATAGACAATTTATTTATTTTTTTCATTCACAAAAAAGTTTTTCGTTTCATCTATAAAATTATATAAATAATTAATAGATGAAATTAAAATGAATAAATTATGATTTTTTAATAATACCGTTTGCTTGTGCAATGATATTACAAGATGCATATAGGCATGTAATAAAAATATATTACTAGAATCAGCAAAAAATTGAATTTTTACACAAAACGTATTACCGTGCAGGTTCTCAAGCAATTGTTAAAAGCATCACGTTAAATTTATGTAATCAACAAAACGAGTCTTCCGAAACTTTTGGTTGGGGTTTAAAATTGATGATCCAAAAATGGTCAACCACCAGGTAGGTAGCAGTTGACAGGCCCAAAGCATCAGCCAAGCGGCGACCTGAGTTGGCTCAACGTACAGGGTTTTGCTGCCCCCCAGGTCTCGAGCTGCCGCCAGCATTTCCATCTCTTTAGTGTTGATGTTGTTACCCGGGAAGATCGTCTCCTCCGTAGAGGCACAAGTTTTGAGGTGCAGCCAAAAAATTCAAAATCGATGTGAAGATGTCCAAGTAACCATTTTCTGTGGAGAAGGAATGATTGATAGTATGCCGTAGTCCTGCGCTATCCACGCCAACAAGTTGCTTTTTGGTTTGGATAGTTATAGGGGTTTTGTTAGTTCTCCTACAGTACATTATGTCTAATTATTTTATCCGTGCATAAAACATTGTTGTTATTGTTGTTAATGATGTTCTTGTCTCCTTGTGTGTTATTATCCGAATTAATGTCAACAAAACATAAGATATGTATAAAGAATAAACAAATATCAAAAAGTCTTCATAAAATAAATAATGACAATTAGATTTCTAGTAAATAAGAATAACTTGGTCCTACAACAAATAAATATACCCACCCACCTAATAATATGATTTAGATTTACTACCACCAAGTTTCTTAGTATCAACCTCGTAAATCTATCAAGTTGTGCCGAAATAAATAATTTTGGGATATGACTCTCTCTGAGCAAAACTCACGAATCTTTTTTAATTTTGGGCAGGTCAAACAAGACAAATATCTAAAATGGCTTCTGTTGACTTCCAAAAGTCTTGGGGTGGGAAATCTGGCGCGTTCTCGTTTAATTTCATAATTGGGTAATTGGTCAAAGCAATTCCTTAAAATTGATACAATTCCATTTTCTCATCAAGGAAAACAAAATCTCTTCTTTGACATGAAGATAAAAATAAAAGTTTATTGAGCTTATTGAAATCAGCGAGACAACTCGGTAAAATCAACTTGGATGGACCTATTAAAATATCAAAGAAATTTATTATGAAGGACATCAGAGAAAAAATATCGGGAAAGTTCCTTGCTCAGATTCTAAGAATATGAAAACTCGTGCCTAAATCAAGTGAATGAATGTTATTGAGCTTTCTTTGGGCTCAGGAAAAGAAAAAAGCATATACTTGTCACAGTAATTGATGGTGGAAGGTTAAGATTCGGGAATGAAGAAATTCGTATTATTATAAAGCGTTGTTTTTTAAATTTTTTAAGCCTATTGCGAGGAATTATAGACGATCTGATCTGCACTCTAGTGATTAAACCAGGCAGAAACCAAAAATTTGAAGATCGAATAAAACAGTGCAATTAATGCGGAAACAAAAAAGAATTCGACTAATTCTTGAGAAAGAGGAGCCCAAGAAATTATTCATTATGAATTAAGTTTTGAATCTTAGAGATCTATGAACGTGAATAGAAAAAGTTAAAAAGGGTATATGCCTTATTTATTGCATACGGCACAAATCTCGCGAAAACAAAATATTTAATGGTCACATGGTTTCTATTGCATGTGACCTGTATATGCTGAAAATTCACAATTATAAATGCTTTTAATTATTACAAGAATATTTATTAAAAGATTACTTCATAATCAACCTTCTCTGGAATAAATAATTTATTAAATAGATAAAAAATTGGTTATTATTATTAACGTAATGTAATTATATTAATATACATAAATTAACCCTGCCGCACCAATCCTATATTTCAATTTAAACAAATATCATGCATAAATAAATAAACAACCAACTTTTCCCCATTATAATCTCTGAATAACAATCGAAGAAGCTGCCCCGCCACCATTACAAATAGCGGCTGCTCCTAATTGGTCAGACTTCAATAAATGTATCAATGTAACTAAAATCCTTGATCCAGATGATCCAAGAGCATGTCCTAAAGCTACTGCTCCACCTGCTATATTTACTTTTGATGGATCCAATCCCAATAATTGTTCGTTGGCTCTGCTTACCGCACTAAATGCCTCATTGAATTCAAATAAACTTATATCTGAGATTGTTAATCCGGCTTTTTTCAGAGCAACTGGTAAGGCATGAGATGGTGCAATTGTAAAATCTATTGGATCAACTGCTGCATCTCCATATGCTAATAAATAGATATATATGTATATATATATACAATATATATAAATTATTAATGAATGATTAATGACATAAGTTTGCGAGTAGAGTAAGCTATAATAAATAACTTACATATGATTTTGGCAATAGGCTTAAGACCTAATTCGTCGGCTTTTTTGCGTGTAGTAAGTAGCAATGCGCTAGCTCCATCATTTAACGATGATGAGTTGGCAGCTGTTACGGTACCTTTATAATAAATTCATTACAACATCAATGTTGTAAATTTTACAAACTTTATTTAATAACAACTATTACAGTAAATTTTATCCGTTTAACGGTTACTTACCATCAGGTTGAAATACAGGTTTTAAGGTTGGAATTTTATCATATTTGACATTTTTGTATTCTTCATCTTCATTAATAACTATTTCTTTTTTCTTGTCTTTAATCGTTACTGGAACAATTTCTTCTTTAAAAACACCATTCTATTTATAAAGATTGCATATCGAATCGATTTTTTTCTTTCCTTTTATAGTATATATAATATTCGTGTGTAAAAATATTTACCTTCCATGCTTCAGCCGCTCGTTTATAAGACTCAATAGCATGTCCATCTTGTTGTTCTCTTGAAATATTAAATTTTTTTGCTGTATTTTCTGCACAATTTCCCTTTTATTTTTTTTACCCGATAATTGCAAGCAAATTATTAAAACATTGAAAAAAAAAAAAAAAAAAAGAAAAAAGAAACCCAAAAAATCATTCTTTTGAACGGTGTTGGTTTACCATACCATGCTAATTAATCATTCAATTAATAATGAAATAATTATAGAAATTTTATCAGCTTAATAAAAACTGATTGATTGATTGAATAATTTTTAACAAATTTACATTAATTTGATTGATTAAAAAAAAATGACTTACTGTATTTGGTTATAAACGTCCCATAAACCATCTTTGATTATTCCATCTGCCATTGTTTGATTACCATATAAAACATTTCTTGGAACATAAAATCTACAATAATAAATAAATAAGTAAATATAAAACTTCAAAAGTCTTCTAAAAACACCCCCCTTTTTTTTATTACTTACGGAACATTTGACATACTCTCCACACCACCTGCAATCATTACAGATCTATCACCAAGCGCTAAACTTTGAGCTGCAAAAATTACCGATTTCATTCCTGAAGCACATACTTTATTAATAGTTGTAGCTTCAGTTGATGTTGGCAAACCTATTTATAATTGATTAAAATTTAATTTGACAATTTTCTCTTTATCGTCAGCTAACTTTCTAGCTATTCCCTTTCTCTTTCTCTGCAACTTTTTTGATATCAGCTAATTCTTGCTTTTTCTTTAATTCCTGTTTATTTCCAGATAATTTTATCTTTTCTTTAAAAAAAAATTTTTTACATGCCTGCTTTTATTACAACTTGACGAGCTGGTGATTGTCCAATGTTAGCTTGTAACACATTACCAAAAAACACTTCTTCAACCTGATCAGGCTTAACACCTGATTTAAAATGATCATTCAATATTAAAACTTTTATTATAATTTATTTATTCAATTTTACTTACCAGAACGTTCAACCACACTTTTAACAGCAATTGCTCCAAGTTCTGGCGCTGTTAATTTCTTCAATGAACCATTAAAACAACCAACAGGTGTTCTAGCTGCTGATATAATAACAACTTCCTAGATTCGCACATATGAATATAAAAATTAATTATGAATTATATGTATATATATAATTAAAAATTAAAAAAATGAAAATTTTTTGTTACATTTATCCCACCACCAGTTGTATATTTACGAGAAACCTGATTATTTGGTTAATTTAATAAATCAATTCATCTTGAAATAGTTTCAAAATATAATTTTCTTACATTTTTTAAATAATTCGAAGTTTTATTGGCAAATCGAAACATTTCTTCTTCAATTGATTAAAGCGATTATGATAAAAATTTTTTTTTGATTTAGATGCAGCGAAATATGTTTGTTTACCCCCAAATCGGTAATGATTTACTTGCAGACTGTTAATTCGCAATTCGCCAGAAACGGAAAGAAATTACATAATAATAATAATAATAATAATAATAATAATGCAGATCGGGGAAAATTTTCTCGATTTTGTAATATAATAAACATACTATTAAAATAAATTTACTTGTTATGATTTACTCTAAAAACAATAAAAAACTATTTATTGTTTTGTAAAACTGCTATCTGGAATATCTACTAATCCAAATTTCCATTGTACTTAATTTTGTTATGCCAATTATTTCCAACTCACCTACTTCTATGTTTTTTTTCAATTCTTCAACTACTTTATTGGACATATGTTTTCCACCATCATTGTTATGTTTGGTGTAAACTAACATTGAATGTAGAGTCCATCCAGATTTCCCATAAAAATCAGATTTTGCTTCATGAGCTGACCGTGGTAAAATCTTCATTTTATAATCAACTACAATGATTGCACCCTCCTCATAAAGAGAAAGCAAGCTAGCATTAAATTGAGCATTAAGGTATGTCTTTCTTGCTTGGCGTGACAAATAATATTGAATCTTATTTCTGTTATTAATAATTTGTTCTAAATCATTTGCATAACCTGCATTAGTTGATGAAACCATTTTGATATCTTATTGCATTGTTTACAATTAGAAATATGGGAATCGGTACATTGTCCAAAAGCATATGGAAGATAATGCTCAAGACATTCAACATGATAAGTGTGTCCTAGGAAATCTGCTTTGGGTTCTTTTTCATATTCATGTTTTAAATGATGTTGGATGGATTCAAGTTCTGCAATTAATTGATTCTAACAATATATGAAATTATTTCAGTATTTGATTGTTAATTATAACTACTATAAAGCATTTACTCACCTGATGATCTTTTTCATTTATTCTCTGATATTAGGATTTTCACATCATACACTATACCCATACTCAAAACAAATGCCACACAAACCCTTATATCTCCCTTATATACAAAAGAACCATCGTTAAAAATGTTGTCCTTTTCATTCCAGATGGATATAGTCCAAAGTATTTTCTCTGCAATGTTCCTTTTTGATCTTTCAAATATTTTACAGGATCACCAGTTTTTTCATTTACTCTATAAGAACTTAAATTGACAATATTTTTGTCAGCAAAAAAAATTTCAAATTGTCTTTTAGCTTCTTCTGTAATTCAAACTCTTGTAATTATTGGTTTTTCAGTTCCTGCACATCCTGAACCATTAACTTCAGAATGCAATCTTGCTTTGGATATTGTTTTAGATGAGACCTATTTTATTCAGATTATTGCAATTTAATCATTAATGGCATTACTATTGATAAGAATGTTAGGATGTTTATGTACATTCTAATGAACTTAGGCAGTAATAAATTTATTTTATTGGATATACTTTATTGTAAATAATCAACATCAAAGTATGATGTTATTAAACAATGTTGCTCAAAATTTTTAGAGTTCTTTATGAAATATTTTAATTCAAAAATTATTTCTAACAAAAAATCATCATCTAGGTTATCAAATCTGGGGAATTTAAATATTTTGGAGAACTCTCTAATTATAAAAACCATCATTAATTCATTAATCCATTGGGCCATTAACATTTTTCAATGTCACCATTGATACAAAACAATGATGAAATGTAGTTCAAATATGCATATTAAAATAAACTTACCTTGAGTTTTCTTCATATTGAAGTTTGCTTGAAATTATTGATAATATTCTTATTTTACCATCATAGCCTGTTTTGTATTGTTCCAATGATTTATTAAAACATTCTCAAAAAATTTCAGCCATAGTGAAATCTATTTTTTTTTCACATTCAAAAAGCCATTACTATTTAAAACCTCCAAGGTATCTTGATCAACTGATGGATCAGAGCTTTGAGACCAAAATTCATGCTTAAAATTCATCAAAAAATTTTGTATTAGTTCGAATCAATGATAAAATATTTTTAATTTTAAGGTGATTTTAAATCCTGGCTCAAGATTGATTTTGCATTGGTTTTTTAAGCAACTGATTTCAGTGAAAATAAAGAAATTAAAAATACTCATGCAAATCTTGGAAATTATGAGTTTAGAATAAAAACTAAATAAAAAATTACCTCTAACTTGTCTATTGAAACTGGTGTGATTTCTGTGCATCCAGTAGCCCTCAACATTGCATGCCATGCTCTCATTTCACGTTCCCTAAATTCATGATTGTATGGATATAAATTTTTTAATTTTCCATGCAGTCAATAATTGTGCTTTTTTGTTCTAGCCAAGATTGAAAACTGCTCTCCAGTCAATATTAGGAGTTCTTTTTTTCAAATGATAATTGAAAATAGCATACATAATTTTTTCATTATTCCAAGGTAAAGGTGTGCATCTAGGAATTTACCAATTTGAATATTTTGTTTGGTCATTGGATGTTCCAACCCAAACAACTGCATTCCAGTGAATTTTTATAAATCTTTGCATTTTCCCATACTTTTGATGGTGTAGATCCAAAGAAAACACTGGCGATTCAACATTATCCATGTAAATGGAAATCTTGCAATGATCACATTCAACAGTTGAATAAACAAAACACATGTTCTATTATATTCACCTATAAATGAAGTATAATCAATTTTGCGCCAAAATCACTCTCTTCTCCCATGCCAATATCTATAATATATATTAGAAATTTACCAAACTTTATAGCAAAGGGTTGAAAATCTATATCCTTCAGTGAAGCTTCCAATATTTCTTTGTTACCCCAACCTAAAACCAAAGGACCAGAAAATTTTGTATTTGAATTAGGATTTAGCCTTTTATATAAGCTTGTTATTGCATTACTAGGTGCTTCTTCTATGTCACTAAACTTGCACCCAGAATGTCATTTATATCCTGGTAATAGATTACTATTTTCATCGCCTTCAGTAATGCACATGTAGTATTGTCTGCCATTTTGTTCTATGCTTGTTTCCCAACAAACTCTCCTTGGATAAAGTAGTGTGCCTTCTTCTAGTTTATTTTTACTCTTCATAACCCACCATTCTCTTGAGTTTACACCATAATACAAGTGTGGCTTTAATTGGCCTATTGAAATGAGATTTACAGTTAAATTGAGACGGCTAGTCATTTTAAAATTCTTAATTAAAATCAGCTCAATATTATTGTTACTATCATAGGTCATCAGGGTATCAGGTGACAAATCAAGTGACTAAAAATAATTTTTGACAAATATAGGCACAAAAAAAATTTAAAAAAAAGGTCCAATTCGAGAACTATACAACTTTGCATTTATTTTTTTGGTAATCAGCAACCAAAAAAACTCTCAAATTATAAATAATAATATTAATTATGACAGAAAGAGTAAGGCTACTACTATTACTATTACTACTACTATAATAATAATGACAACAACAATAATAATAATGATAAATAATAATAATAGAATTCTAAACAGTTTTTTTCTTTTATTGTAAATTTCAAACGATAACAGGGAAGAAGTGGTGGTAGAGGCGGTTTTTCACGTGGAGGTGG